ATTTAAGGACAGGAATTTGCAGCTATTTTGGTGAATCAAAACTTGAAAAAGCCCACCATTTTGTAGGATTTGAAAATGTGCTTCTTTTGGAGTCAGCAGTTCAATAGAAACCAGATACAGGAATGATACTGGCATGGGTGCTCGTTCAGATTCTACCACTGCGCTCTAAGGACCTTGATAAATAGAGAGGTTGCTGCTCTGAGCTGGTAAGCAGAAATAACCATGTTAATTTAATCACTATGAAAGGGACTCTGCCAAGTTAAGAAACATAAATCTTAATTATATGCAGAACATGTTTGAATTATAATATACGCACAATGTTTAGCTGTGACACCAGTAATACTGTGATTTATAAAAACTGGAAGAGTTCTTAAATTACATTGTATTTTTCATTGATGATTTTTGTTGATTTGATGCTTCCATTCTGCATACTTTTGACTATTTCCTGTATCTACTACACCAACCAGGTGCTACTACATTTGCAATACTAATCAAAAGGAATGTCATCTACAAACCTTCTTAAAATTTTTATACAAAGAGTAGGCTTTGAGTTATAGTGCTTTTACTAGTTGTTATTACTTGTAATAAAGATTATATTCTCTGAAATTACAATGTCTGAAGAACAGTTTGTGATACAAACTAGGAGTTCAATAGAAAGAATTTAAAACAATTAGTGGGTAGGAAAGGTTACTACCTGTATTTAAAAAGGATTTGGATGTGACTCAAGGATTTAAAGACCCATAAATTCTATATGAACATTTGAGAAAAGTGATTGAAGCAGTAATTAGGTGTAAGCAGTAAAGCACCTGGGAAATTATGATATAAGAGGTTCTGACTACTACCAAGGAAAAGCATATTACTACTTTCTTAAAATTCTTCATATGATCTGTAAAGGACTAATCAATAACAGGGTTAACAACTAACTTTGACTTTCTGAACACCTTTGGTACGTTATAGACATCCAAAGAGAAACAAGCCATTGGATAAAAACTGTTAGAATAGAATATGAAACAAAGAACAGAATGAAACTAAGAACTTTCATTGCAGAAAACAGCTAACAGCCAGTGCTTGAAGGTTTGACGTTTGGTCCTGTGCTGTGTAATATAGTAATGACCAAGCCAGAGAGATGGAGTATCTTGTAAACTATAAAGGTTTGCACACAGTACAAAACAATGTAGAGCCATCATGGCCAGAGCAGTCTGCAGGCCTCCTTAGAAGATCTGAATGTGCTTGGTGAATGGGTGGTGGAATGGATGTTTTAACTGATCTGTGTGCTTGAATGTATGACTTATGGGAAGTTCTTCTCCCTATTACAAGGTTTCTAATTCTGCTTGGTATGCAGCTTGGACACTGCCTGAGGACTAATATAACAAATATTATAGTGCATTTATTTAAATACGAGTTGAGGTTTCATCTGAAAATACTGTGTGCAGTATTGGTCCATGTTGGGAAGATTATTGAGGAATAAGAGGAAGTTCAGAGAACTGTAACAGGACCAAGCCATATGGAAAACTTGCCACAGCAGAGTAATAGAAATGATTGTGGATGTTTATCCTCAAAAGGAGGGGAATAAAAAGAAATGACAAAAAAGTTTGGTCAGGAACTTCTATTTTACAGAACTCACAGCAAGAACAAGGGGGCAGGCAATAAAAAAGGTGAAACACCCCTCCTTTCAAACCATAGTTTAACTAACTGTTGAATGTACTTAGGTAGGAAAATATTGAGTATACCAAAATTCAGAAAGGGCTGGGCTATTCTGTGTATTTCCAGAAAAGCTAGGTTTAGGATAACAGGAGCTGCTGTATTAGTCCTTCAGGGTTGACTTGTTAGAGAACAGAATGAAACACAGCATTGGGGTATATGATTTTCTTTGCATTTCTCTCCTGACAGACACTCATACCTTCTTTCGCAGCATCCAATGTGACTGCATAATGTAGCACAACAAATATTAAAGCAAACAGAGGCAAGTGTGGGGTCATAGTTTCTCAAGCCTATAATGGTCCCTCTCTGGCCTTGTTTGAAGCTTCTGACACTGGCTGGTACTTTCATAAGCAGGACAGTGGGTGGAATGGACCCCACATTGCTTCCAAACAGCAGTTCCCAAAGCCTGGGGGAAGCACGTTCTTCCACGTGAAAACTACATTTCAGGTGTTGAGTTGGCTTCTCAGTTTTCTTCAGGGTACAGGCATAAGAGAAAAATACACTTTTCCAGCTTTTGTGAGAAATCCTGGAGAGTTAAAAAGGAAGGAGGAAATTAGGGATTTAGTAAAATGAATTTAATGACCCCCTAGTAGTGTTTACCTATTTCTCTAGGTTAAATGAACTATCTTTTAGATTTTTTGAAGATTTTTATCTCTGAGGATTCAAAAAGTGGTTTGGAAACATAATTTCTTTCTTCATTACTGTGTTCTTTACAGACTAGCCATCTTCCAGGAAGGATTGAATTCATTACAAAGATTGAATTCATTATGAAGAGGTCGTCTTTGGGCCTCTGAAGATTTTTATATTGTAAACTTTACATTCCAGATAAGATAAAGTCTGTCATTTCCCACTTTCAGAGCTCCTTAAGCATGAAAATGGACACCTAGAAGCTACTAGAGAAGAAAATGGGTTGAATAGGACTCAGCTTGTTGTGCAGCTGGGAGGCAGCTGTCCTGAGTTTCTTTTCACCAGATTTCCTGCTCACTAGGTTAAGTTTTTGGTGACTCAATCTGCCCATCAGTGAGATGGGAACAGAAGTATTACCTCACACCGCCTTGCCAGTGGGATGTTAAATTTAATAATTAAAAAATGCTGTAAGAGCACTGGATGAAAAGCCTCCTGGAGTGTTGCTGGTGGGAATTAGTAGCTCCACACAAAACAAACATGACTATTAAAGACAGCTGCTGGTTTTGACCTTAAAGCCTACCTTTTCCTCTGACTTAATGTTCAGTATGTCTGGAACAAACAGGGGGTAGTTTTACTTTCATATATGTTCTACTTATCCCTCACTCCTTCCTTACTAATTCCCTTTCCTAATGCATTCATTTGCTGAGTGTATTGGCATCCAGAGACAGACATAGCTCATCACAGTGCAGACATGCTTGTTTCCGATGCCCTTGAGCTTGTTTGAAGCTTCTCTTCCTGAATGTAGGATGACCCCTTGGGTTTTGCAGTCCCACAAGGTTCTAAATACAGAGCAAATGCCCTTTTGCACCTAAGCACAGGACTTTGAAACCAAGCCAAGCCCACAGCCAGAGATGATTACAGAGGTTCCTCAGTAACTTTAGATTCAAGTGTTGGGATTTGCACGTAAATAAATTCTAAAATCCCCTCTTTCTATTGAAATGTCTGGATTTAACATCCAGAGGGAGAAGTTCATACAGGGAAATTCAATCTGTATGACTGTTGATTTTTCTGTCATTTTTATAGCTCAAGTAAGGAAGAAGTTGGGGAAGGTGGCATAATGGGGTGGGTAGGCAGAGCTTAATGCTGAAAACAGAAGCCTGATTGAATAGACCTCCTTGTGATGAGAAAGGGGTTCAATTCACAGTTGACCCCATCCCATTGTGTGGGCTGTCCTGGGAGTTTCCTTTGAAAATCCCAGTGGTCTTGGTTTTCTGCATGTACTCAGCCTTTCCCTCCATGAACAGAATAGCTTTTTCTGGAATTCTTGCTGGATTTTCTATGGTTGTTGGCTGGGCAATGCTCTCTCACTTCAGAAGCAAGCAAGTTATGGAAGCGCTGATTAGGGACCCTGAATCATTTGCTGGTTTAGAGTTTTTCATATATACAATAAACATATTCCTGGGACACAGTTGACCTCCGGAAACAGATTATACTTTACTGTCCCAGGTGGAAGTGTTCATTCATTATTTGGATTGCAGGAGTGATTTGGGACTTCATAAACACATGAATTTCTGCTCTGCAGAGTTTACAGCTCATGGTGGGTGATAGAAAAGCAGGGAGCTTCAGGAACACAACACGGTCCTAAAAGATGAGAAGTGAACTGAGCTCTGAAATAAGGACACCAGGTGCTGATTTGTGAGCATTAGTCCTGTACATTACTACTTTATATTGGCCTAGATGAAGGAATTAATTTCAGAAGGGAGGGAGTACTTGAACCTCTGCATGAGTGAAGTAGAGGCAAGGATCTATGAGGAAAAACAGAATTCTTCCCTAGGTGTATTTTAGCATCTTGCTAAAATTAACATCCTGTATTTGCCTGTCTGCTGCACCACCTCATAATCTAGTAGCAGCATTTGGAATGGGAATAGGGCTTTTTTCCTTCACTTGTATGGCAAGTTGTATCAAGCTTCCTCATAAACATGCACTGTTTTTGGAGTTCCATGCCAGCTTTTGGCTCTTACTGCAGTGACTGGGGGTTGTCCTGTTTTATGGGCTATATTCTGCACTCATAGCTGTGCTGACTGGTTTCTTTATTGGTATAGACCCATTTAAATGAAACTGAAGATTTTATCTAGTCAATATTACATAAAAATTCAAGACACATCCCTTTGTTTTTTTCAGTTTAAGTTCTCAGCACTGGCCCCACACTTTAGCTTTCTGTTTTTTCACATGTGGAATATGCTCTGGTGTAGGAGAATGCTGCTTGAAGCTGTGCTGTATAAACTATGCCAGATGCTAAATTACATTAAGCTACTTTTCTGCTTCAGGAGATCAGATTTTCATATTTGTTATTTCAGTATCTTAGAAAGTGCTGGTTTTATTCTTTATTTGAAGCATAGGGAGTTTACATATGAGAAGGAATTTTATTTCCTCTTCATACAATACAGCCAGCCTTTTTTTCCTGTAAGCAATCACAGTGATTTAAAAGATATCAGGTTTTCAGTAAGATAGAAATGAATCCTATATGGAGATCCTTAGTGGTTAGAAGAAGATCTTGAAGAACTGCAAGAAAGAAACAAGCTTGAAGATCTGTCATTCTTCTGCTTGTCATCTCTGTCCTGCTTGTTGGTTGTCTGGAGAGACACATACAGTTGGTGTGTTTTGTTTTTCAGAAGTTGATCTGCCTCTGAAAAAGGATGGGTTCACCTCAGAAAGTACTACTCTGGAAGCCTTGCTGCGTGGAGAGGGAATAGAGAAAAAAACAGACACTAAAGAGGAAGACACTATACAAGAAATCCAGGTAAAGGAGATCCCCATGCCCTGACAGCAGGGCTGGATGTCACAATTTGTCTCTAAGCCTAGCAGACTTTTGTCCTGTGGCAGAACCATCTGTTGATAGTTGTGTCATTTGACTGTCAAAATGTTATCAAACCTTTGTGCTACACTGTGATGCTCAAAATGAACTCGGGATCTCACACACTTCTCCTGTCACAAGAATCTCGGTCGCTTGGCTGTGTTCTGCACAGCTCCTGTGTTAGAATTTGTTTTGCAGCACTATGAGATGATTATATATAAAACTGGCAAGCAGAGATGGGTCCCAACCATAAACTGAATTTTTAGTGCCGCATATTTAAAGTGAATTTGGACATGGATTTGAATTTGGACTTACAGATGCTGACTATAGACAAAAATGTGTCATTGCCTTGCCTGTCTTTTTTTATACTGAGAAACCTTTACAAAGTATACAAAAGAAGTATATAAGCAAAATAATTAAAAACATTCTAATCTTAATTATCTCAATTATTATTAGTGATGCAGGTATGAGCAATATTACTTCACATGTATTATGGTTTGAAAGTTTTCAGGATTCTATTTAATCCTGAAATACATTTAATTTAAAAATTAAAAGTAGAAACACATTTGTGGGTCTGCTGTGGAAGGAATTCAGCTAGTATGAAGGGTTCTTATAGAAAAACATGTCACTTTATAAAGGCATCTTAAATTGTTAAGAAAGGGGGCCTCTCTCACAGCAGCACATCTTTGGTGATGTTAAAACACCATTGTGCTGTTAGTGTGTTAGTGATTTTTAGTGAGAGCCGTAGGCAGTATGTCGAACTTGGTAACTTTGGCTTGGCATGTTGCATCTATACGTACAGTTAATAAAAATCTGAGTGGTCAGCCTCATGCCAAATGAAACAGAAGAGTGTGGGCACCAAATCTGTATTACTTGGAGTTCAGTTCTATTTGCCTGTTTGCTAGAAATTTCACACGTTAGGGCAGAAAAATGAGGTCTGCTATTCCCAGTTACACAGATAAAGGAGCCCCATCTAAGATGAAGCATCCCATGTTCATGAAGTGGGGAAAGCTTGTCATGAGGCCCTATCTGTTCTTCCTTCTTTAGTAGTGTATCCGAGTCTATTAAGCTGAGAACCCTAAAACTTTGTTTATACCTGCTTCCAAAGCACAAGAAGTCGTGGTGCTGCATCCTTAGTAGATCAACAAGTGCTTTTGGGTGTTGTGCAATCTGAGCTCCCAAATTATCCTCATCAGCTGTTCAAGGAGAGAGACTTCAGAGATGATGGAAATGGCACAAGTCTGGGCATTGCAGAGCAGGGAGGGAGTGCAAAAATATACAGAAATTTTTCAGCTAAACTGCTGTAGCTGTGACCTGTCACCTGGATGCTAGTTTCACTGGAAAAGGCATGTCTTGCCGTTGTTTCTTATGCAAACACAGCTTATCTGGATTCAGTCTATACAGCAATGATTGCTGAAGCCTTTAGTAGTAGCCAGCTTTCAGTGTGTACTTCAGCACCTGGCAGCTAGGCTGTACCAATCAAAATCTTGATCAGTGCCTTTTATCCCTATGACAAATAAGAGAATGCAAATCTCTCTTTTGTTCCTTTTCGTGCTCCTCTATGCTGTAACTTGAAAGGGCCCAGCCTCAGTGCAGGGCAGAGTGAGCAGGTGGGATGGTCATAATTGTAATTCTCACCTCAGTCCCAGCCACTTTAACACCCTCTCTAACTCAGAGTATCTGCCAGGAAGAGAAGACTTGGTGCTTAGCTGCACTGAAATACATTAGGCTGGGAAACTGTCTTTGAAAGACAGAATATAAAAGAAAAGTTACTTTGCTAGAAAGGGTAAGAGTTCCCCCTGCTAAATAGATGCAGACATTGGGATCTGCTGTACAGCTGGTATTTAACAGGGTTGAGGATTTTGCCCTACAATAAATTGGTATTGAATGTGTGTCGGAGAAGGCTTAGAATAGCCTTTTGATCATGCATCAGAAAGGCTATGCCCCTTCTATCAAGGACTAAAGTCATTACCCTGGCAGTGTCACTAAATTCACACTTGCTTGCTTATTATCTTTTTCCTAAATTGGTGCTGCAATTTTAAAGGAAGTTGTTTGTAACATTTCTCTTAACTTCCCTTACGTAGTAGTATTGCCATAAACTAGCTCCTTTCCCACATATGATATGGTTGCAACCTTATCTGTTTTTTTGAGATATATTCAAATATGAAGCAATGTGAAAATATAAACTCATATCAGTAAGTTTGCTTATTTTCTTACATACCACTAGTATGTAACGTTTTCCAAGTGTTTCAGTTTCCTAAGATCAAGTCAATTAATATGCAACTGCACGAATTTTGAGGAAACATTTTACGTATGCGGAGCTGGAACTTGCTTAACTTTTACACCCTCTAGTATTTAGTACTCTAGTATTATGTGAAATTACATTTCATGATGGTCTCACCTCGTTAATAGCCTCCTGAGATTAAAATATAGAAGGAGAAAGAACCACATGAAGACTTGATCCTCTACCACATTCTAAAAGTTCTTAGTACTTTTTAAAATGGACAGTGTCCAATATTACTCTTAAATATTTAGCTGATAAAATAAAAATAAACTTGTGTAGTTGGTCTTCCAAATCCAGGTTGTTTTAAAAGTGAAATTTTTGATGTATCCTTTCCCACAAATTCAGAATTTGGTGTTTGAGGTATGAAGGAAGGAGAGAAACAACTGTCATTTGCTCCTGTTCTCCCTCTGCTGGCTCTCAATTAGCTGTTAAATAGAAATTACAGGGAAGAAAAAAACACAGAAAGACTGAAAAAACTTCCCATCAGTTTAATGTCACTGATTTGAATCTGTATCATGGTTGCATATTGTAATTTAAATGTATGGTGGCATGGCAAACATAAATTAGTTATTCCAGATTAGTCCCTTGTGAAATGGCACCACCCCATGAATGGCAGGAGAGACTGGAGCCCATTTCTGTATTTCTAGCAGACATGCCAAGGGTCGAGGGGACTTCAGTGGGAATTCTTTCCACATCATTGTAGTGATGATTTATCATCTTGCCTTTGTCTGTGCAATGTCTGACTTGTGCATGTTTCCAGGGTGGCCGGCCTGTGTTTGATTCTATAGAGGTTACCTTCCAAAAGATCAGTATTAAAGGATTTAAATTTGCTGGCCTGGGAATCTCACAGTTACGTGAGATGATAAATTATTGCTCCCATTAACTGATTGAAGGAACTATTGCTATTTTTCCTATTAACCTCAGTGATATCTGTACTTCCTCAGCATTCTCATGCAGCAAGATCCCTTCCAGTTTACAGAGTTGTATGCGTGGTGTAAACTCCAAAAGATGTTACGTTCTAGATGCATTAAACATGCTGGAATATATGGAGGAATTTTCTCTATTTTTGCTAAACAAAGGAAACGTGAGGAGAACCACTGATTTCTGTCACCTTCAACTGCATTGTCAATATTAGAGGAAAACAAAATAATTAAAGGTGCAAGAAACCAAAACAAAAAACATCATGCAAGCAATACCCCAAACATGGCCTGCAGTTATGCATACTAACACTTGTGTTGACTTGGGATATCGGTGCTCAGTGATGCCACTTTTATTTCTTAGGAACTTTTTTTATAGTTGACTGATATCAGTGGTAGTTTTTAAATAAGAACTCCTTGGAGAACTGAGGGTGGAAGGGAAAGCAAGTTTTGCTTTAGTGGAATGAAGTAGGGATCCTGGGCTCTGATTTGGCATTAAACCATTAATCAACTGTAATTTAATAACCTGTAGTCTCTGTGGTAAAGAGCAGAAGTTGGTTGATTGTGTCATCTTCTTCTAACCATTCTTTTCTATTGTTCAACCACAGAGGGTTTTAGAAAATGATGAAAATGCAGATGAAGTGAATGAGGAAGAGGATTTGGAAGAAGATATTCCAAAACGAAAGAACAGGCCTAGAGGACGGGTAGGTGGAGAATTTACTGGAAGGAAAGGAAGGAAGCAAACATCTGCTTTCTCATGTATATGTCACGTATATTGTATATGCAAAGTGTATATCCATGGATACATGATCGTGATAACACTATAGGTAATTTTCAGTCATATGGTCAAAGGTTTGAAATACTTTTTTCAGTTTATTTTTGTGACTATTTGCAGAGTAAAAAGTTGGGATAAATTTATTATAGTGTTGTGTTTACAATTGTAATGTAAGGTCTAATACTTACAATGACATCCTGCTATTACAATGCTTTTACTTTAAAACAACATTTACTAATTACAGAAAAGCAACAAATTCAGTCATGACACACCAAAAAATATTCAATATTAATAAAAGTAACTTGAACTGTGTTAATACATTTTGCAGCTTTCCCCAAGGTAGCACTCTGTGGCTGACAGTGGCCCTCTTGAGACCCTGGCAAATCTTCCATTTGCTTAAAATGGGCAGTATTTTATCCTTAGGGGAGTCTGTGTCCCTTCTCTTACCTAAGATATCTTTTCACAATTTCAGCAGGGCACCAGTTAAGTAATGAGGCCAACATTTTAAAACTTGGAATCAACATTTCCAGTTGTGGCCCTGCAAGCTAGGCATCTCAATAAGTGTGAGCACAACTCTCAGAAGTTTCAAGCATTTTCATCTCTCTTTGGCTCCAGTGGATGCTGCTGGGGCACAGGAGCTCTAGAAGTACTTTTTGATGTGTTTGTAGGAGTCAAGCAAGAAGGGCCACATTTTAGGCCAAATGAGCAGGATATAATAGCTTTTGAATAAGAGGGAGACATGAAACTACACTGAATACTTGCAATGTACTTATGCATCAGACCGTCTCTTTTAGTTTCTTCTGTTATTGTGTTTCAGTTTTCTGCTCCTCATTGTTTTGGAGCTTAAGTCTTTTAATATAAGATCAAAGCACTTTAATAATTGGATAAGTATTATTTCACCTTCCTTATTCTCAAAATCACCTGAACCAGTTTCTTTCTTTCTTTCTTTCTTAGCCAAAGACCCCCACCTGGAAAAAAATTTTCCAGAAAAATGTAAGTTTCAGAAAATTTGTATGAACCAGTAACCAAAACCAGGAGTTAGAATCGACACATGCACATAGGCTTGACTGTAGCAACCAACTAATATTCCAGGCTAATAACTCTTTTCTAGTAAGTTGCTGTCACATAAATTACACATGCTGGTCAGGGTGAGTGAAATGGAGTGAAGAGCTAAAAAAGATACACTGCTCAGGAGAAGGGGATTTCCTATATTCATATATCCTAGGCCTACATAAAGTTCTGAAGTTACTGTTAATGTGTAAAGTTTTACTCCCCTGATAAGGAAACTGTTTCAGAATAACTCTTATTACATTTTCTCTGCTGCTGCAGGGAAAGGAGTTGCAGTACACGTCCCACTCATTTTTAAAGCATAGATTTACGTCGTATTTTCTGCCCTAGAACTGGCCCCCTATAAAGTACAGGAGCAGCAGGATCTCTTGATTTTTTCTGGCAACTAACCCCTGCTCTGCTAGTGCCCTGGCTTCATTCAGTGCAAAAAAAGAGAAGTCTGAAGACTGCCAAATACTTTGAGCAATTTTTGGTTTTATTTGATGGCATCAATAACCAAAGCAAAATGTGGTATAAATTAGGATTTCAAAATTAGGGCCAGATTTTCTTGCTGTTGAAAACTGGTAAGCCTGAATTGTGTCTGGTCCTGAGTGTTTTGTTACTGTTCAAGCAGCCCTTTTCTAATGTGAGCCTGACCCAGTGTAGGGAATTGAGGCTAAGGATTTGAAATTAGAGGATACGAAACCTGGGCAGCACTTTTGTTCTGGGAAGGAATTGGTTAGGGTATTTTTAGAGGACAGAAGAGAGGAAGGACATGCATAGGAAACTAGATCCACCAGAGTGTGGCCTTTGGGGATTCAGAGAAGGAGTGAGAAGGGCTGACAGCATTGATGCAGGATTAAAGTGACAGAATTACTGCTCTGGACTTTCCAAATCGCACATGACCCTTCCTTTCCCTACAGCATGATTTTATTTTTAATCCTGGACTCTCCATCTGTCCCTCTGGCTACTCTCTGCGGCTGCTTCAGTGCTGCTTGAAGGCTGCTATGCCTTGGCTTCCAGGCCTCACACATCAAGTCTTATAGACTCTGCTGCATCCTTCAGGAGAATGAATGCAGTCGTGGATGACTGAATTCAACAGACCTGAGTGCCAACAGTAAGCATGAGGCACTGAGTTTAGTGCCTCTGGGGCAGCTGCTCAGTTTACTAACCCCTCAAGGCTAGCCCTGAAATTGTGGGAGCATTAGGAAGGACACTGAAGGTCAAAGAGATGGATTTTCTGAAGGAGTTGTGGAATATCTTTGGTGGACAAGGAGAATTTGATAGGAGCTGGGAAGGACAGTTTGCTAGGAGATAAGAGAGGAATGAAGCTGCACCTGTACAGATTGTCTGCTCGTCAGCTGGATATCCCATGGGACAATTTCAAAGGAACTAGAGACATTTAGGAGCTCAAGTTCCACTGAAAGTTATTGACTTGAAAAATCTCTCCACGTGTGTTCAGTGTATGAAAAAGCATACCTGACATCTGGTCACGACATGAACCCTTACCTTTGCGTTTCTGTAGAAAACAGTTTGAAGGGAAACAGCTGGCTGTAAGACTAGCGAAACTCTGAGCAACAGACCTGAAATTACCATTCTCTTCTGGAAGGTGCCTATATAAAAATAGTACTTTCTTACTCAACAGATCTATTCTCAGTGTGTAAAAAGTCAGACCTACTGACTAGTGAAAGGAAAAGAGTTTACAGGTTTTTTTCACAACCATGAAAAGCCAATGCAGCTGGGAGGATAGAGAAATTATATCATAATCCAGGTACCAGCAGAAATATTCATGTAGGGCCAATCACTTGTCTCTTTGAGGACTCTCTGATGAGCTGAGGGTTGTATGGGAGCTGCCATGGACTAAAATTCAGATTGCAGCACATTTTGCAGTAGTGAGGGAAGAAAGGAACTAGCCTGGGATTGATTTCATAGCCCAGAGGGAGTTTACAGAGCTGGCAGTCAGAATGAAAATATTGCAGACTAGTAAAATGCTTTTATGTGATATGGTCAGTAAAGTAGCTTCCACCAAACAATTGTTGCTGGAGCCTTTCCCAGGGTGAAACTGCTTTTCAGTCCACCCTTACAAGTCTCACTTCACATGTGCTGATCTGCACAGAAGTCTTTGCAGAAGGCAGAGCTATACTTGTCATACTAATAGTATTTACCCCATCCAGACAGCTGCAAATCCATGTCTTTCCTTCAGGACTCTGTTAAGAGTTAGACCTGAGCAATCCCAGAGAAATGATGTGTGAAGTTTTTGCAAATCCCTGTTTTGACAGATTTTGGCAGGCCAATGTAAATTGTTCCTTGTTCCTTCTCTTTAGATGTCCCATGGAATGCAGCTTGAATAGTGCTAGTTCAGTCCTAACTCCATAGAAGAGGGGCAGAGCTTCTATGACCCCTTTGTGTCTGGGGTACTAATATTTTCAGAATTTTTACATCTTCTCCAGCTTTACTTGACAAAGCTCTGTCCATTTCTTATTTTTACATATAAAAGCTTGAAGGATTTGAGTCAGGCAGCCTTGTCTAGTGTGAGAAACATGATTGGTTTAATAAGAGGAGCAGCAGAAACAATTTTGTTGCTTTTACACAGGAAAAGAGTAGTTGGCAGAACTAATAAAGGGCTGTCTAGCCATCTACCTGCAGATCACTTCCTCTAATAAAGATCAAGTCTAAAATTATTGTCATCTACACACTGCACATTAGTGAACAGGAAAGTATTGAAGGCCTTGGCTCAGTTCCCATTTACACCTCACAGCCTCTACTTCTGGAAGGATATGAGCTGTCCCCTTGTTGGCATCTCAGCTGAGAAGTGTCAAGACCAAATAGCTTTGATGCTGGAATTCCACTCTTACCACTGGAGCTCAGGACAGGGCAGTCTGTGCTGGGGAGAAACAAGAGCTTTTCCATTTCCAGGGCAGCCAACTTGGTATGTTGTAGGAACACAGAACAGTGAGACTTTCTGGGTAATTCCCATTCTCTGTTATTGCAGGTAGCTATGTTTCCTAATCTTCTCCACTAACTGACCAAAGTTCCATTTTAGAATTAGCCATGGTATCTTTGTCACAGAAGGCCATTTCAAAACATTGCTTTTCAGCTAGAAAACAGAACAAAACAACCCACCCCCCATTTGAAAATATTAAAGGAAATAATTTTACCTCTCTTCTATTTGGGGCCTATTTTCTGGCTGATTGAATAGCTGCATTTGTCCTCTAACACCTGTTCATCTATTCATTCATATTCAGTTAAGCAAGGTATTTGAACATCTTCAGAGATGAATGTGTGATGATACTCGACTGAATATGTGCTGGCAGTAACCTATTGCTATGGATGAACAATCTGGGGTACCTGTGAAGGGGATCTCCACTGCATTACAAGGTCCACTAACATAGTGCATATCTTAGGAGGTGAAGGGTCAAGCCCACCCTTGACAGCCCTATATGGCAGCTGAGGAATTGTTTAGTTTATATTGCACATTTTTCATAGGAGGGTGAGGGGCACAAGGATACCCAAGGGGCGATGGAATAATGTTAACATTCATCTTGTCCTTGCAGGCTCGGGGATCTGGAGGAGGCAGGAGACGGAATGATGCTGCCTCCCAGGATGATCATGACAAACCCTATGTTTGTGACAGTAAGTAGCACCAAGACAGCTGATTCTGCTTCCAGCTTGGTCCTACCAGCTTGGTGTACTCAGGGCTTCGTCTTTTCTCTTCCAGCAAAATATTCTGCTGCACTCTGACTTGCATGTTTGCCACCTGCTGCTGCTTCATGCTCTTAGTGTTTTTGCATGAAGGAAATAAAATTAAGTCCTCGGCAAGACTCCAGTTCCCTTTGCCCTGTAATAAATCATCCCTTATATTTTCTTTCTCTTCTCTTTTTCTGGCTTCTCTGCCTTTTGTCTTCCTTCCCCCATGTAAGATTCACCCTCTATTTCTTTCTCTGTTTCAGATAGTTACAAACAAAAGCATAACTCAAAAATCTCGGACAAAGGTACTTCACCCTTGTTGTATCTCTTCATATATTTGGTGATTCTCTTTCCTTCAAATCTCACTGGACTGAATTTTGAAGGTCTAATTCTCATCCATCACTCAGAAAGTACTCTTGTGGCATCATCAGAAGTTGAGCCCTCCTAAGAAACAAACACAACCAGAATGCTTTGTTTTGAAACATATTCCCTTTGAATATGGCCATGCTGTTTGACATGTTGCAGTGGGACTGCAGGTGAAGTAAGGCATTGCCCTACTGAGAAATTATACCAGAGCCCAAAGCTCAAACTGAAGAAGGATACCAGAGTCCTACTATATTTGATACACAATATATTTTTTTAAATAGTCTAGTCCTTGGTGCTCTCCTTCTTCTTTTGATATTCTTTTTTGCTTCACTGTGTCATTTCTGTGAAGGGCAGTTATTTTACCCACATGCTTTTGAGGTCTTCCATCTTAAGGCTTACTGTAGTGTACATGCAATGGTAATTTGTGCTACTGGCTGCTTTTTATCCTATAAACCAAAAACCTAAGAATAGTTAACAGGAGAATAGTGGGAGGTCTTCACTTCTGTGATCCAAAAATGTTTGGTGGTTTTAAGGATGATTAGAAACCCCCTTTCTCCAATATCTACCTATCTTGCAATGTTACTGACTTAAAAGACCAACTGTTCAGATGTTGATCTATGGGATATTTTTAAAAACATAAGAATATATGTTTTATATTTTTATATATAATACATATAAGAACTACATTCCATGTGATCAAATACTCTTTTATGGTGAGACCAGGTGACTCTGCACAGTACAGTGAGGGACATGTTGGGTATTTTGCTTCAGCAAGGTGAATATTCTAAGGGCAATGAGCAGAAATGGAAAGACTTGCACATGAATGGGACTGTCTGAACACATGATCAAGGGGGAAGAGCTCTTTACTATATGAAGAGTCAGGAGATTTCTACTGTGGTTAAATAGCTGTCCTTGTGTGTTAGAAGAACTGAAATGTGACTTCTAAAACTTCTCTGGGAGCCCAGTATGTATCTTGCTGAAATCCACATCTGTCTTCTATTGGTATATGCATAACTGTCTTTAACTCTTTTCTGGAACATCCTTCTAAATCCAAGGACACTTGTCAGTGCTAGTCATTTTGAACATAATGTCACTAATTGTCTGATCTTGTTTTCCTTTTGTATTTTTCAGAGAAATCAAAACATGCATAGTAGTGGTTTGCACACAGTAGATAAAACATACAAGATATCAGAGTAGGCAGCAGAAATCTGGACTCAAGTCAAGGCTTTAGCACATTGTTGTACTGATGGAATTTTGCCTTGGCTTACATTTTGGAGCATAAATTTCCTCTTTGGTTTTGGAAATATAAACTTTCCTATTTCAGTTGGCTGATACCTTTCATTTTTAGGAAACTTATAGTTAGAGGTGAGTCATAAGGAATCTTGGAATCCGAACTTTAGACAGTGATGACTCCTTTTCCATTGTAAATAGCTGAGAAAGGGGTTATGTGGCAGCAAAACTCTTTTACCTGACTGTGGAGTGGAAGGAAAGAACTGTCCCAGTTGTCATTCCATTGTCCTGAAGTAATATCCTACCCTTGTTAACTTTCTGTAGAAATATTACATGCAATTCATTGTGAATAATTGGCTTAAGTTGAGGCCTCTTTCATGCTTGGGTGGATTTATTGAATCAGTTTTTTTTTTTTTAAATTATTTACTAAATATTTTTATAAATAAACCTCAATCTAGTTGTTGTAGGTTTGAAATTGGTTTGCAGTACTCCATGTGCATATGTTTTGGGCAGATAGATTTGTTTTACATGGAAACACGCAAGTCAAAAACAGTGAAGCTGTTTCCTGTTTGGGAAAACATGATTCCCACAATCACATTATTGGTATAAATAATAATGGTAAACACTTTACCTTTTCTGTGTATTATTGCTTTTTGTGCAAGTGTTCTGATATTTGAGTTTGGAAAGTGACCACAAAGAAGAAAGTATAAGCCTATCTAAACTAAATTAATTCTCTTATTTAGAATCATAGAATAGTTAGGGTTGGAAAGGACCTTAAGATCATAAAGTTTCAACCCCCATGCCATGGGCAGGGACACCTCCCACTAAACCACGTCACCCAAGGCTCTGTCCAGCCTGGCCTTGAACACTGCCAGGGATGGAGCATTCACAACTACCTTCGGCAACCCATTCCAGTGCCTCACCACCCTCACAGTAAAGAGCTTCTTCCTTATATCCAATCTAAACTTCCCCTGTTTAAGTTTGAACCCATTACCCCTTGTCCTATCACTACAGTCCCTAATGAAGAGTCTCTCTCCAGCATCCTTATAAGCCCCCTTCAGATACTGGAAGGCTTCTATGACGTCTCCAAGCAGCCTTCTCTTCTCCAGCCCCAACTTTCTCAGCCTGTCTTCATACAGGAGGTGCTCCAGTCCCCTGATCATCCTCGTGGCCCTCCTCTGGACTTGTTCCAACAGTTCCATGTCCTTTTTATGTTGAGGACACCAGAACTGCACACAATACTCCAGGTGAGGTCTCACAAGAGCAGAGTAGAGGGGCAGGATCACCTCGTTCGACCTGCTGGTCACGCTCCTTTTGATGCAGCCCAGGGTACGGTTGGCTTTCTGAGCTGCAAGTGCACACTGAAGCTGGCTCATGCTCATTTTCTCATCCACCAACACCCCCAAGTCCTTCTCTTCAGGGCTGCTCTGAATCTCTTCTCTGCCCAACCTGTAGCTGTCCCTGGGATTGCTCCGACCCAGGTGTAGGATCTTGCACTTGTCATGGTTAAGTTTCATAAGGTTGGCATCTGCCCACCTCACAAGCGTGTCAAGGTCCCTCTGGATGGCATTCCTTCCCTCCAGCATATCAACCAAACCGCACAGCTTGGTGTCATCGGCAAACTTGCTGAGGGTGCACTCAATCCCTCCATGTCCATGTGACTGACAGATGCTAAACAAGACCAGTCCCAACACTGATCCCTGAGGGACACCACTCGTTACTGGTCTACAGCTGGACATTGAACCATTGACCACAACTCTTTGTATGCGGCCATCCAGCCAGTTCTTTATCCACCGAGCAGTCCACCTATCAAATTGATGTCTCTCCAATTTAGAGACAAGGATGTCATGCAGGACAGTGTTGAACGCTTTGCACAAGTCCAGGTAGATGACATCAACTGCTCTACCCCTGTCCATCAGTTCTGTAGCCCCATCATAGAAGGCCACCAAATTGGTCAGGCAGAATTTCCCCGTAGTAAAGCCATGATGGATGCCACCAAGCACCTTGTTGTTTTTCATGTGCCTTTGCATGCCATCCAGGAGAATCTGCTCCAAGATTTTGTCAGGCACAGAGGTGGGACTGACTAATCTGTAGTTCTCTGGGTCGTCCATTTTCCTCTTCTTGAAAATGGGGGTTATATTTCCCTTTTTCCAGTCATTGAGAGCTTCACATGACTGCCATGATTTTTCAAATATGATGGACAAAAATATTTTTGAAATATGATGAACTGCATGGGTACTACTCCTTTGCTCTTTTTTCATAGTTGCACATTCATATTTATGGGAAACAAGAACATATTACCAGCTCTCATCAGTAATAAACAGGTTATGGGAGAAAAGTAATCTGTGGGCCAGTAAGATGAAGTACCCAGCTGACACTGCCCCTTGTGCTTGAAGATAGCAATGTTATTGCTGAATAGGCCTGCTTGTTTGGAAGAGGCATTCAGCTATACACCAATATTAAAACTGATTAGAAATATGGAATTTCTGTCTGAAGGGCAGTTTTCAAATCTAAAATGTTTCATATTCCTGTGTTTTTAGGTAAAGGTGGTTGGTCGCTTGTTTTGTGGAATGAAATATTCTGAAATACTTCCATTGACTTTATTGAGCATATACTGGATCAGAAGTTCAGAATGAAAAGCTTGACCATCCTAAGCATTGATAAAATGGCTAACATAATCATGAAATGCCTTGTTTCATCAAATCAGGAAGTTCATCAAATATGGAAACCTCTATTCTGGCTTAAAAGTTGCCATCAATTGTAGCAACTGAGCTTCATGACTCCCGATTCCCTAGCCAGAGTGATTAATTTGTGCTGAATCTCTGAAGATATTAACTTTCCTGCTATCCATACTTACTGGTCTGCTCTCATTCTTTTCATGTTCCCATGGAGGCTTACCTGCATACATACTTCCACCTTTGTTTTCTGTCATTCTATCTATTGAAGATTTCCCTCGCCCATCTCTAAAAGTTGTTTCTTTCTTTTCCTTTTACCAATATGTCCTTGTTTCCTTTTAGCTTAATTCATGTATAAACTATTTTAGCATAACAACTTATGTTTGTATCGTATCCTTTATTCATAGCCCCTCTGAGGTTGAGATATGAATTCAGATTCATTCCTTGTGCAAAATGAGAATTGACTGAAACCTTCCTGTGATCTCTGCTGGATCAGTGACTAATGCAACCTTGCATGTATCCAGAGACACCGATCCTGTAGTGTTTTGTAGAAGCTGATTCTTTGTCAAAAATGTCATTTACAGGTTTTTCTAGTTATTTAACTTGAATTTTCTCTGTTACAGTCTAAGACCAGCAGTCCTTCCTTTGTTCATAGTGGATAACAATGTCCTCTGT